GTCACCCCAAAACGACAGTGTGCTCCGGCCGCCACTGACGTAGCCTTCCGCAGACCCGCCCAACGCCGTCGTGTAGAGGGACGGTGCAATGGGAAAGGTATGACCATCCCATGCAGCCTCGCGGGGATCCTGCGGGGCGTGGAGATACTTTTGCGCCGTTGTCGAGCTGGTAAGAAGGCCACAGAGCGTAACGCCCGCCTTGGGAACAAGATAGTCGCTGAATTTCCCCATCTCAAGTATCACGACAAACTTGTCGCCGTGTGCGTCAAATTCACCACAGCGTGTAACAAAATTTTTCTCGCTCGCCCTAAATCCCGTCGTAATGTCCTCCGCTGTCAGTTTATGGGTGCCGTCCAGCACCCCAACGACGACCTCCCTCGAGCTGGCAACACCAAGAAACAGGAGGGAGACCAGCACGGCCACCACAACGAAGGAGGCTCGTCGTAATGCGGGGTGACGGAGTGCGATCATTTGCCAGTGCTCGATTTTGACTCTTGCCTAATGCCCAATAACCCCTCAGAGCGTCGCTCGTTTCCTCCTGCTACTTGCTATTAGAAACCACAGCAACTGTCGTGTAAGACTTCTTCTCCGAGCACAACAAGAGGACTCCCTCTCCCACAAACTATAAGCTATTGGCAAATAGGTTGCTGCTAACGATAAAGCGTTGGTCTATGTAAGAAAGCTGAAACACCCAAGGAGGAAAGCGGCAGCAGTCGTGAATACAACCAGGCAGAGGCACATCACACTTCAAGAGGAGGGGCGACTGCAAACAATGAGAAGAATTCAAAAACATTTTTTTTTAAAAATAATGCGGTCACTTAAATTCATAAACATAATAACTAATTTTTTTTTTTCTTGCCGTAGTTAGCCGCGGCATTGTAACAAAAAAAGAAAAAAAACAGTGCTGATGTCGTTGCAGCGGGTTAACACGAGCTCACGAAGTGTTTTACATGCTAACAGAAACGTGGTGTCCTGTATGCGATTTCTGTGGGCCAGAGAGAGACGCTCCAGGGGGTCTTGCTCCACTCCCCGCAATAATTTTTTCGAGGATATGCGGCATGCATGCAGTAACAATCCCTGTAGCGACACAAACGCCCCGACAAACAGGAGAGCATCCACAGTGACGCGTTCAAGGTGCAGCACCTTAGGCGTTGGAATGTGCTCAATCCCCTCCAAGGAAGAAGTAGTGAAGGCAGAATCAAGTGCCACATGTAATTCCTGCAATGAAGATTAAAAAGCGCAGCGCAGAGAGTTCACGAATATAAGTTCCCCCAATCCATAACACTTCCAGCTCTCAGAGTTGCTCGAGGTCATGCACACCAGTTGCCTCTAGCCTGGCATTATAGAGAAGATACAACTCCTTCATTCTTGCAGGGTGATGAGCGAGAAACTGCAGAGATTCCATCTCCTGCAGACACACGTAAAGAACCTCAAGTAAGCTCAGTCGATTCAGTCCTTCTACATCTGTTGTGTTGAGCAGGTGAGGCTCGTTAAGCTCCTCAGTCGGTGTAATCAAGTTGCTGTCCCTGCCACATGAAACGGTGGTGCTGGGTGATGTGGCGCAAGGAGTCCCCATGTCCAAAGGCCCCCTCCCCTCATCACGCGTGTCCACATTTGAAGATAAAGCGTTGTGCCCTACTTTTCAAGCATGATCTTCCTGAAGACAACCGGGTACACTCGCAACCGGTCTTACAAAACCCACCTCTTCAAACTACGGTGTAAGCACGCCATCGTCGCCAAACGGTTTCCATGGTGGTTCCAATGCCAATACAGGACGCGGCAACAAACAAATCACACGCAGCGCAGCTCTTCCAGCAAACATGATTTTGATCCACCACCACATTTCTCTAAATGAAGGCATTCGACGCTCGTCCAATAAAACGTGCAACTCTTTCGGCTGCGGCAACTCAGTCACAAGGGATTTTGCCAGCCACTGCGGACAACGCTCAGTGAGATTAAGCGCCAAACCACGAGCTCTAGAAAACGCACAAGCAGGATCGAGCTCATCAGAGAGATGGAATAAATCCTCCGTGGAATTCCATGTCATTTCATCCACGATGAGAGGCACACGGTGGTTTATGTCCTTCCACCAGTCTTCTTAGTGACGTGGCCGCGCCAGCCAGTACAAAGGGTGTTCTGCTGGTGGTGAGACACCATCTGACGAAAACACATGACACACAGAACGCATGTCTTCCACAACCAGAATATTGTTGGTAGAGTCGTGCAAGTAGAGGGCCTCTTCGGTGTTTTGACCAGAAAGTGGCCTCTTTCGCCACAATACACCTACCAGCTTCGCATGGTGGTCGTCGTCTCCAGATACCATTCGCTGGCGATATCGATATGGCAAAGCAACGCAGTCACAAAACACACGGCGATCCCCGCGAATGAGTGTGGCGATGGTGGCATCAGGAAGCTCAGGGTGGTGTGCAGGAATCGTATTGGCCACAGGATTGAGCCAGTTAAAGTGCTCCATCCGGCGTCGGAACCACGAGGACACGCAGACGATTGCCCACGGTGAGGTCGACAACAGTACGCCAATACCGCATTACAGTTAATCTCGCGTTATTGTTGTCGTCTCAGCGGCGGTGGGGCAGCCGCTGAGGAGAAGGCAAAATGCATCAGTGGAAGACGGCAGAGGCAATGGGGACTATTCCCTACGACGTCCCCAAATGGCAGCTAGGCCTGAGACTCGGCGGGAGAAGGGGCAGCGGTGAAGCCCCTCCCGCATACTTTTGTGCTGCACCATCGCCTCCGTTATTTCCCTGTTGTCCTCCCCCCCAGTCCTTCTTTTGCGCAATTCAGGCAATCACTGAATTTGCTTGTGCGCAGTTATCTGCATACCTGCCCGCTAAGCAGGAGAGAGAGAGAAAAAAAAAGAGAGAGAGGAATTTCGCTGTTCCTTTTCTTTCCCCTCCTGGTTCCCTTTTTTGGGTAATACTCCTATTTCTGTATCACTCTCCCCTTAAATCTCCTCTTCTCTACGGTGTCCAAAGACACCACCCTTTCCACGGACGCAGACCACTCCCTTTCCTTCTTCCAGCAGCACTTGTACCTTCACAGCAATGTGCATCCAAACAAGATATGGGAAAAGAAGCAATAATAATAATAATAAAAGAAGACCAAAAAAAGAAAAATACTTCCTCGCTTGTAGTTTTCACTCTTAGCACAAGCTCCACCGGAAGCACTCATCAGCGAACAAAATAACAGCAATCATCATCACTATTATAGTAGTAAATATATAATCTGGTTGGATCTGGATGTAGGCTTTCAAAGACGGAGTTCAATGCTAGTCAGCTGCCTGATTCTTGCTGCCTTCATGAAACCCTTGCGACCGCCCCCCATCATTCACCACCATCCCTGCCTCCTCCTCATTTCGCACTTTTCTCCTCGATCGCTCGTCTTTAAACGCTTCACTTCTTGCCTTTATTTTTTCGTGTGTGTGTTTTTTTTGTTTTCTTTTTTTGTCTGTGCCGCCGCGGTGAAAATCATTCATTTCCGTTGCCTGGCGTGCCTCGCGCCTTCACCCCCTCTGTTAGCGCATGCGTCCTTATTGCGCGTAAGGTTTTCTTCCCTTCTCTGTTACATGACAGCACGTCCCACCGCCACATTTCCCCGGAACGTGCTCGCCCCTCCCCCCCAGTGGCACACGTCATACACACACGCATGTCTTTATGCATGCAGAAAATGGGAAAAAGCGCGCCATGCAGTGAGCCTCTGCAGGTGAAGGCAAATGTGCCCCAGCCTTCATTTGTGTCATCACAGCCGCGTCACACACAAGAAGAGGGAACAACAACGCCCACAACAAAGACCATATTACAAGAGACGCACGACAAAACAGCGACCACCGCGCAAGGGCATTGTCGAGAAGACTCAGTTTCCTTCCATTGAAACGTTCACTTTTTTTTCTACCTTTCTATCCGCACATCCTTCTCCCACACCAAAAAACGTACTCCATTTTGTTGACGCCGTTGTTGTGGGGTTGCCTTCTCTCCCAGTGCGCCTGAGAACACGGGCCCTACCGTGCGGAGGGATACACACAAACAAAAACAGAAAGAAAGTCAGAGTCGAACAAAAAAAAAAAAAAAAAAAAAAGATTCACCTCTCCCTTCTCTCCTTTGCATAGACAGTCAGGCGTGTGTACATTGCCACCAAAAACGGGACTACACGTGTACACACAGAAACACAAAATAGAAAAAAAAATGACTACACAAAATAGAGAGAGGAAAAAGGGAAATTGAGAGCAAAAGACATGAAAAAAGAAGCACGACAGAAATCCCCCACACCATTCTGTTACCCTCTATTGTGGCATTTTGTCACGCTCGTGTGAGGACGTTGGCCCAACTTCTCCCTTCCCAAGGCCCTTGTCAAAATAAATTCCTGTCGGTCTTGGTTATTGTGGTCTATGTACACAAACACAGCCAAAACGTCCCTGTCAGCGATCCAGTTCTTACATCGCCGCAACGCCGTCCTCCTCCTCCTCCTCCTCCTCAGTGTAATCCTCTTCAGCAGGCTCTTCCTCCGTGTTGGCGCTAAAGTTGAAAAACCTTTCTTCCATCCACTCAGGTATCAAAGACGAGTTGTGCTCCCCAAAAAAAGTCACACTGCCAGGGCCAACAACCTCCAGCCAGACAGAGCCGTCCACGTCAAAGCGAAGGTCAACGTTGCTGCAGATATCTGTGTGCCGCGGTAGGACCACATCAAACAAGCCGCCCAGCTGAACCTGCTCCACGGGATCAGCCGCAGCAGCGGTTGATTGAGACGAAGCTGCGACACCCATCTTCTTCTTATTCCCCTTACTCTTGTTCCTGTTATCATTTTCATGCGTCCCCCCCTTTGTCGTCGCTGTTCCATCCAGCTGACTCCACGGAAAGCACGTAATGGTGTGGCTTTCCACTTTGCGCGTTGCACACAGCGTTCGAAGACGCGCAAAAGTTGCGGGACAAATCGCGGTGTGTTTCTTGCCTGTTGACGCGGCAGAGACAAGTTTACGTTTATGCTGGACGTAAGCCTCCAGTTCGTCGGGGCTTGGAGGGGTAAAGGTGATGTGCGTAATGCGTACGGAGTCCTGTGTCTGCTGTGCGGCAAAGGTCTGGAAGCTGTAAGGCTCCGCCTCCGACACCGTCACCCGGAAGGATGTTGCCGCCATTTCCACATTCTGATCCATCGGTGACAATTACAACTTCTTATTTTCGCCTCGTTTCTTTTTTTTTTACTTTTACTTTTTTTTACTTTATTCCTTCGCGACTCCTGGCGGTAGGCTGCTTTTGTAGTCCCCACAAGATGTAATGGTGGGCTGCAGGATGTGAGCCTGTGCACGTTGTGTCCCTTACGAAATAGCTTCTTGCTTTGCCCGAAAGGTCCTTAGCCGCCTCGATACTGGAAGGAAGCAACAAGCGACTATTCCTAGTTGCACTCCACGAGAGACGCGAATGAATGTGCAGGTCGCCGCTGTCGCTCAATCCGGCACACGAACCCACACGCAGAAACAGAAAAAGAGAGAAAAGAAGTAAAACAAAAAGCGGCAACCACCACCAATCTTGCAGAAGTGTTTCCGACAAGAGAGATAAAAAACGTAGACGGGAGTTTAAGGAGCAAAACAAAAGAAGAGGCGGAACAGTACAAAATCCATCTCAAAATTGTATTGGTGCACACTCCCACACCTATAGAACACACGCATTTCACCGATACGTTTTCAGTTGGCACCCCACACACCACGTTATTTTTTTTACTGCTGCTGCTTCTGCTGCCTCGTGCTTGTCCCACTTCTCCTCACTTCGGGGAAAAATGCTGGTGGGGTGGCCTGCGCTGCTCCACCTCACATACCTCGGTCACCCAATGCCGCATGGTACGCTCAATCAGATCCCAAAGTGTTGCCTTGCTGCTCTTACACTTACAACACGCCCCCATCATCTTTACGTACATGATCGTGCCATCTAGCCTAACAAGCCGAATAGTTCCGCCGTCAAGCTGCAGCTGGGGTCGAATGGTCATTGAAATTAGTTCCTTCAGCATGATAACCACTTCAGAATCACCCTCCTGCGGCAGTGTGTCAGGGTGGGGGTGAGGGTTCGGGCATCAGGATCCACGTGGGGTCGCCCGCTAAACAAGTGATCTGTGATGAGGACACTCACGTGTAGCTTCAGCTCGCCCCAGTGAGTGGAACGGAGAAAATCACGCAGCGCCGCTTTATCCACGTGCTCGCCAGTACCCAATTCCTCCGTTGGTCCTTCCCCAGAAGATTCTCTTCTTGAGACTTGTTTTGAACTTCTTCAATAACTGTGTCCTCGTTTTTATTCCTCGCACCCGCTTCTCCATGATTGTTCCACGAAACCACTGATGGTGGTGGGACCTCATCAATATTCCCCTCCGACATGGCGTCCATCACTCGTTGTTGCAGTGCAGCTGAACGGCGAGCGGCCTCCTTCGCTGGATTAGCTTGGATGCCCATTTTCTGTGCAAAGTAAGGCTCTGCAGCTTCTGCGTCGGTATCGTCGACACGCCGCACCGTCACAAATTTTGGCCCAATCGTCACCTCTTATACTATCGGCAAACTCTGCAAGATCAGCTCCGCCAACGGTGACTGAAAACAGTTCTCGAGATCAAAGCACAAAGTGCCGGTGTTGTCAGCCGGAAGAAAATCCACGTCGTCAATGAAAAACTTGTAGCATGCCTCGTTTGGTGTCTCGTGGAAGCGGACGAGAAACGTGCGCCGCGGCACATGATACGCCAAGTTCCACATGCCCGTTTCCTGCAATCCAGGCAGCGGTCGCCCGAAGATGTGGCGCGTGGAAACTTGTGCCCACCGGCGCGAGAGCATTAACGGCATGCGTCTCCGCGCAAACACGCATGCACACGCCACTCCCACTAATCCCGCCAGGAATGCGTAAAGAACAAGAACCAGACAAAGGAAAAAGAACAAAAGTACATTGCCAAAGAAAAAAAAAAACGACAGGCTCAAGCCCGAGAAGATGCACAAGCCCATATAAATGCCTCATTATGCACGCATCAGCCACCACAGCCTCCTCATAACAACAGCTCGTAAGCGCCATTTTAACTTATATTTTACCAAAGAAACACACACACACACACAAATACAGAGAAAACAAACCATGTTTACACGAAAAGGTGCGACCGCTGCTTCTCCTCCTCGGCGATGGCCTCACTAACCATAAGCGGTACTTCCGTTTCTATCGCCTCATTGACCGTCACTTGCATCTCATACTTTTGCTTCAACTTTTTTGTCCATAAATTAATGTTCTCATGGGCGCGTTGACGGTGTGCTCGGACCTCCTCTTCCTGTTGTCGCTGCATTCGATTGTATATCTCCTTCTGTTTGTAAAACTCGGACGACTGTCTCCCTTGCATTGTCTCCAACGCCTCCTTCTGCAACATCACTTGGGCCTTCCTCACCGCAAAGCTCTGCAGCTCCTGCAACCGTGTCTGGGCAGCTTCCGGCAGTGACTTTAGCGGCAGGCATCCGGCGGTGGGTGGCTCAGTTGGTACAAGCTGCGCCACACCATGCTCCCTCGCAACACGATTGTACAGAGCAACGCAGCCTGCACACTCCATCTCTGTAAGTACTGCGTGTTCCATCCCACCACATGCAACAACCTCGTGACAGAGCATCGGGTTTTTTCCTCCGCAGCGGGAGCATCGAAGTGTCACATGTTCCTCACAGGGCCGCTGCGCCTCTCCACAGCGTATTCGCTGGAAGTGATGCACAATCGTCTGCACAGGATCTGTATCCGACATGCCTGAAACAACCCGTTGCCCACACGAAAGCTCCCGTAGTCCGACGAATTCGCAGGGTGAACACGGTTCCCCGCAACGCCGTACACACACGTGACCACAAGGCTGAACCTTCATGCAGGGAAATGGACAGTCACTGTGCGAAGAATCCTCATTCTCCGTGTCACAACCACCACCCTCTCCACTAAAGACATGACAGATGCGGAGACACGCATGAGAGGGAGATGTACAATTCTCGTACGGCGCCAAACACAAAGAACGACATTTTTGTTCCCCAATCACACGCACCTGGCAACCACAATAGTCGGAGTAAGTAAGCAGTGCCAGTTGACGACAGTTTTCGTGGTCTGGGCATCGCATGGCTAACACTGCACCTTTTATTTCAGGTGGAAGCCAAAAACCCCTTTGCTCACGTACCTGCAGCACAAACCTCTCCAAACGCCGCAGCGGCTCAAGATATAAAAATACCTCTCTACTTCCCACCAAAATTGCCCCACGACGGGCGTACGACAACGTCCTCCACAACCACCACTCCAATTGCTCCACGAATGAACGCTCCGCCCCGACTCGAGCCCACGCCGACTGCCGCCCTGTCGTTGAAAACCGCCGTAATCGACGTGCAATACCCGACAGGCACAACACAGCCACATCACAATCTTCATCACGTTCGACAAATGCATCCGAGCAGAACGGAATTACACAGACAGATCCCATGCTCTCAGTTGCCTCAACATCAGTTCCTGATGCCATGCCTTCAAGAATCACTGCCCTATCCTTCACAAAACCGCAATATACCGTCACACTCATGGAAGATTCAATCTGCCGGAGACGATTACGCACAAATGCAGCAGCAACGCCATCGCACGTCACACAGGCAGATAATGCCACGGCATGCGTCCAAAACTCCACACAACACGGTGATGAAAACCCTGTGACTGTTCCGCGTTGACGCATTGCTTGGTCCTTACCACCACCACCACCAGTAGCTACAATAACACCATTACTATCCCCAGTACTACCCGCCACATCAAGTGGAAGTGGTGCGTAGAAAGCAACAGCACTGTTACGACACAATTGTGCCGCTTTATGAAGTTCTAAATAACTGAAACGAAGGGATTCAGATAGCGTTACAGAGGAAAGCAGTGGCGTGCCTTGTAACTCTCTTTGTAGCGCCCGAAGTATGACGAGAGAAAGATGTTGCTCATGTTGCAGGGAAGATTCAGCTTGGTGTGCAAGAATCGCCGCATTTATTTGTGGCAATGTGAGGTAAATTGCATCGCATATCTGTTCATAGTCATCCACCACGATATAATGGGGTTGCCATACACGCAAGAAAGAGATCTCCCGCAACAGCGTGTTTCCCGTCGCTGTCACCACTGTAGCCTTCGAGGTCTGTGACGTCGCCGCCACAGCTTGTATCAGATCTAGGAAAAGTAGAAACAGATGGCGTGCCTCATCCATAATTTCGTGTTGTAGGAAACAAAGCAGATCTCTCTGTTTTTCCCAAAAGACAGCAAGCCACCCCGCAGCTTCAGATCGGGTATATGCAGATAGATTACGTGCAGCATTCGGTAAAGTAATCGCTTGAAACGAGCTGGACGCAGGCCCCATACTTTCCCATACTGACTTTCCAGAGACAACTTCAAAATCAGCGCTTTGCCCTAATGTTGACGGATCCCATATATCTTCAGCAAGATAGGTCACCCATGATTTGTCGTTACGCACAGCCTCGGTGAATGTGTTAAGTCGTTCCTTTTTAGACATAATCCATGGTAACAGCTCAGAGAACAGCTTCCATTTTCCCTCTTCAGGTACGGAATTTTTCTCCAATGAGCGAGCAATGGCATCAACACGGTCGCCTACACGCTTCAGTGTCTGTAAACGGGTGTTCAGAACAGCAGCAAGTGGCGCTTTCAGGGATCGTTGATGGCTTTGCTCCATTATAGTCCCAATAGGGCAAAATTTTCTTGCAAGATTGTCTTCCTGTAAGACACTCAGTGAATGCGAGGGAATTGTTTGCTTCAGTGCTTTTGGACGCAGTAACATCGGTGTATGACATTGCTTTAGTTTCTCACTCAGCTGCACGTGCTCTTGAATATGCCCCAGAGCCGCGTTGGCGACTTCCTCTGGGAGATCACGCGCAGATGTTCCGTCGGATGCTTTGAAAAGATCCTCCATGTCTTCTGCCGCGGCCAACTCTCCAAGACGCATTGAAAGTGTTTGCGCGCTGTGCTTAATCGTAGCATGCCAAAGGGGCTGATGCTGCTTTCGCAATGCCTCCTGCATTCGACCTCGGGAAAGACTGGTGGCATACATAAGGGTCGTCTTGCCACACCCTACTGCCCCTACAAGTGTACGCACGCCTGGGCTTGCCGTCGTCAAGGTGTGAAGGCACTCAACTTGTGAGGCCGTAAGAGAGGCGGCCTCCGCGATCTCAGAGAGGCAGTGCTGCAGAACCTCATTCTCCCCCGGCAAGGGGGTGATATGTGTAAAAGCATCGCTTGTCACCCCAGTATTACCACCGCCACTGCTGCCGCTCCCCCACCACAGAACAGCCTTAGGTACCGTATCACTTTTGCCCTGACCGCCCTTAATGCGTCCCGTCGCCGCCGCACCACATTGTTCTTCCAGCCGCATTTGAGCACGCAGCTTTTGCAGGTGTCGAATGTAGAGTATGTAGGTAACGGCCGATGTGCCCAGGGGCATAAAGTGACGTGGTTGGCTCTCCAAATGATCAAATGGAAGACCATCATCATCATCATCACCGCCATTCTTTTCTACTCGACGGACATCCAAAAAAAACCACGCCTCTGGAAGTCCTTGAGATTCACTAGATGCGGCAGCGCTTGCCGCAACAAGTGATGGTAATACATCCCGATCACGGAGAGCGTAGACGGTGACCGTGATGACCGAGTCCCTCTCTATGTTGTCCACCACACCGCATAATACAACAGGAAAAACAAACGGCTTGCCATTCAACACCACCACAACACAACCAAAAGAAAAGCTTGCCTCAATAACGTCACGACTGAGCACATGGGTGTCACTTGTTACATGCAAAGTAAGAAATAAGGGCGGCCCAAAGAGGGCATGAAGCCTAACTTCTTCTAAGGAATATTCATCAAGTTGAAACCGAAGTGCTGACTGCGATACTTGTGTGACATGCAAAGCCTTCATCGGTTTCCCTTGATCCGCATTGTCCGCCCTCATTGTTGCAATGGATTCCATGTAGCTGGATACAGCACACGCCACTGGGCCGTATAGCTCTGCATACGCCGCCAGCATGGCACACTCCACAAAGCGTAGCGCCTCCTGTCGCAGGTATGGTGTGTACGTCTGCGTCATTGACGCCATCATTTCCTTCAGAGAGGTTTCCTTCAAGCCATGGAGGTCCTTTACGTCTTGTAGGCTCGGTGGAAGGTGGACCCTGTCCACAAGATTCACCATTTCTCTCGCCCGTTCCTTCTGGCGCATCCACTGTGCAACCCGGCGAAAGACACCAATACGGGCCAGTTCCTCCACCAGTTTCATGACCGCCTGCATGCCTGCCTGTGGCAACCTCGTTTCATGTGTCAACCACAACGCGGAGATGCGGTGAAGCACAGTAAGGAATCCGCGCTCAGCACCTTCTCTCGCCTCCCGTTGTCCCTTTCCTTCCTCCTCCACAGTTTCCCGGCAAACGTAGCGCAGAGCAAACTTCATGGCGCCCAACATGGTTTGCTGCGCACTTGCCCATGTGGACTCCGAGACGTTTCCAGTCAACTGCGGCAAAACAACGGAAAGCCCATCCACAAATAAGGGCGACCCCAAGAATTGGTGGACCACACCCTCCACTGTATAGGGGAGCGTCATGATAGCCTCCGCATTGCCCAAAATGGCCACATACAGGCGAAGCATAGAAAATATAAGCTTCTTCAGCTGATAGACCTTACGCACATCCACCCCATCCAGGTTCTTCAACTGCTGAAGAAGGAGAGGCAACTGCAGTGAACGCAGCCATGCATCTGCAGCAGTGACAGATGCCCCTACCTCACCCCAAAAAGAATTCATAATGCAGGTCAGCTGGGCAAGACCAGGAGGGGAGGAAAGTAGCTGGTGCATCCACCTTGCCATTGTCAAAATGTTCCACGAGGCGGCATGACACCAATCCGCGGCGTCCATTAATGTAGAGGGATCCAAAGCGACAAATTCCACCTTTGCTGACGTGAAAGTTTCTCCCTTCTCCCCCTGATATTCTGAGATGTATCGCTGAAAAAGCACCATGTCGCCTATGCAAAGACGTTTTCCCTTTGCAACGGAAATATTCACAGGTGCGATGGCTTCAGATGTAAAGAATACTGTCTTACCATCGTTTGCCACGAGCTGAATAACACCCATTTCTACAGGGCCGTACGGATTGTTTCCACGTGCCGATGGAAACAAAAACTGACATGTCTTTTCGCGAAATGATGGGGCGCTAAGCAACGCATCCATGTCTTGATAACGCACTGTAGGTCCCATACACTCCTTGTTGTATTCTGCTGCCGCAGACTGCGTCATGCCATGAGTGATTTCTATTATAGCTGCATGTGAAGACGCCGACGCCGATGCCGATGACTCGGACGCCCTCACTTTGCTGTTTTCGCCACCCTCGTCACGGGAGCGCTTTGCGCCAAGAAGGTGAGAAGGTGCTGGCATTTCCGTGCCAACTGCTGCCCCAGGCTGCAACTGCTCTACTGGGACGACACCCTCTTGCTTGTTTCTTCCCTTTCAGTTCCCAACAAACACAGACAGACGCGAGAGTGAGAAAAAAGAACACGTGGAAACCAACAGGGCGGGCAGTCCCAAGTGATTTGCATACGAAGGTTTCAGCGTCTCCTTGGGCTTTGTGTATCTCCCTCGTCACTTCCAACACCCCCCACAACGAAAGGAAATTGGAGGCGAAGATGTGAAAAGGCAAAAAGTAAAAAAAAAAAAACGACGCAGCAAAAAAGGGCCAGAGACGCAGACGGTGCAAGCACCTATGTTCAGTCGCTGTTCGACTCGACCTCCCACTCACCAACATCATCCAGCTTAAAGTCCTCCTTAAAGGCTTTCACTCCACAAACCTCCTCAATGTACAGCGGATCGTTCACGCAGCGTAAGACAAAGGATGCCCCTTCTCTTCGGTACGCCCCCACCACTGCGTCGGAACAGGCTGTACACAAGTCATAGCGATACCCATAAAGTGTATACATATAGTGTGTTAAAACACTCCCGCGAATCTGATGTGGAATTGTGCCGAGTGCACACACTGCTCCATTGACATTGGTGAAGGTTGTGTCTGGAGCACCTTCATCCTGCTGCGGCTGTCCTTGTTGCATTTTTGTTTCCGTGTACGGAGGGCATGCAAATCCTAGGGGGTGGTTGTACAACTGCGCCAGCAACTCTACTGCCGTCGCTGAGGCAATTGCAGACACCCCCGGGCGCGTGACAGTGCACTGTTGGTCAAGTGAACGCGCAGTCATGCTGTCGCGTGGAGCAACCACATCACTACAGAAGTAACACCCTAACCGAGACGCGACACTGCCTTCTTTTGGCTCGACACCGTGACGCATGACAACATACGTATCAAACCCTAAAGCTGTGTTAACGAGAGGCTTATTGTGTGCCGTGGCCATCACCGTTGGTAACCATCGAGCCTCTCGACTATCTGTTAGAAGGAAGACAACATCGTGTGCTCGAATAAGTGCATCTAGTCGTCCAATCTCGGCAATTGCCTCCGTCTCACGTTGCTTGTCGATGCGATGCCCCGGCATATGAATTGTCAACGGCACGCCACATGCATGCACTGTGGGAAGGATACGCTTGAGCGCTTTGGCCGCCGCAACGGCTTTATTGCGTTCCTCCTGTTGAGGGTTAATGACGTCTGACATCTCAAAAAGCGTCTGTCGCACAGGATTTGAGAAGGAGACGTTGCCACGATCCACGAGGGTTATTTTCGTGACACCCCACATCAAGAGTTGACGTGCCACATTGCAGCCCAGTGTGCCACTCCCAAGAATCAGAGCTTTACAGGCGGCTAACCCATCAAGCCGGAGATTAGGTAGCATGCGCCACTTCATCAAATTGAGATTTAGTCGGGCACTTGACTCTGCTAAACGCTCTGGATCCATCACGGCCCCAAGATCAATCAAGCTCACAGGGGACGTCGCACTTTTCCGCTCAGTCCATCCAACGGCTCTTCCAGAGGCAATTTCGGCTCCCTTATTTGCGTCTCTCACTGCGTCCTTCAATGTAAAGTCCAGTGGGTCACAAGTACACTCAAATACAACACTCTCTTCTACATCATTGTGGCGGATACAGTACAATGAAAACGCCGTTATTGACGGATGAGCGAGACGAAGCGCGCCAATCACGTTGCGTGCAGGCCATCCGGGAAACTCCGCCATGGTGGAAACGTCTGCCATAACGATGAGAAATGATGATTCCTTCAGCTGATTGATAGCCGCAGGTACAAAAGAGTAAAAGGTAACCGTGTCACTCCTATCATTGCATGACTCCTTAAAGGAGGCGATAAAGGGATTTGGTCCGCGCTCCGGATGACGCTGTAGTCGGTCCAGCAAATGTGCATGTATTCGGTCGACATCTGTGCGACTAGGGAAATACAAGTTACCGTGATCGATTGCAAGTGCTGCATAGCCACCCTTTACGCGATGTTTGACATAAACAGGCGATCCAAGATCCAAAACAGGAAAGGCCATCATATAATGAAACCGATGGCTTTTCAGGTCTGCGTAAGTGAACATCGCAGCAAGGGCAAAATTCATACCCTCCCAGACCTTATCGATTGGGGTTTCAGCCGCCTCATGATCTTCGTCCTCCTTAATGTTTTCGCTTCTGTAACCGTAAAGAAGTGGGATGAGCAGCCGGTCCTTGAGGACACGCCAAAGTACTTCTCGTCGTGGTAAATGGCAAAGCTGCTCAAAAGTATTAAAGTTTTGCAACTCCCCGCTTACAAACATGGGAATTGACAGAGGTGCAGTTGCAGTGGAAGCAGTATCAATAGAAGTAGGCGGTCCCTGCGGCATTCCTGCTGTAATGGCGGCAGCGTCGTTGTCTAGACTCTCACGCCTCACTGACACTATGTTAGCGGGAGTGTTAGAGAACGCAGTATTTACAGTGCAAAATAGCGTCAAGGGCACCACAGGCTCCTGTAAACGCCACTCGTGAAGCTTCCGACGCTCAAGCTCGTACCAAAAACTAACTTCGAAGTGCGGAGAATATTCCTTAAATTTGAGTCGGCTCCCCGCTGGTGCGTCGGCCGTCGACATCATAGCACTAAAAGGAAGCGGTACCTGCAACAACCGCGCACCTCCCCACGCACGCACCGGCAAAACAAAGAAGTAAAGCAAAGATAACTAGTTCTATCTGTCTCACCGTATATGAATGTTACTCCTTCCTTCTTTCTACCCACTACCGCCTCCTTAGGCTTAGAAAACAATCTGACGATAAGACCCCAATATGTCTAGCAGGCTGTGGACCGCGTCTACATTGTAAGCGGGTCAATAAGAGAAAAATACAAACAGTGAGAAACATTTGCCTGAAAAACGCACCGATCACAAGTAACAACACACATACACTCACAGGCGCATGCGTACATGGCACCTCTCATGATCAATGCCAGGACGCTGCCCCTGAAAAGAGAGCAACCCAACAAAAAGAAAAAAAGTGCGCCCCTTTTCTTCCTTCCTTTTTCTGTCGGTTTTGTGTATGTGTTTGATTGTTTACCCCTTCACGCAAAGTACCTGCTTAAGCGTACAAACAACCTCCACGAGATCTCCCTGAGCCTGCATCACATCATCAATCTTTTTGTACGCCAGAGGAGTTTCGTCGAGTACATCGGTATCTTTGCGACACTCCACGTCAGCCGTGGCTGCCTCATGATCTTCAAGTGTGAAGCGTCGCCTTGCCTCTCCACGGCTGTAGCGCCTCCCAGCACCGTGCGAACAAGAGGAGTAACTGAGCGGGCTGCCTTTCCCACGCACAATGTAGCTTTTCGCTCCCATACTACCTGGAATCACTGCGAGTTCTCCACCACGTGCGGAAGTCGCCCCTTTCCGTGTCAACCAAACGTGATTCTGCGGGTCTAACTCGACGTGTTCAATGTAATTATGATGACAGTTGATAGCCATTGCGTCAACACTAAAGGGTTGCGGGATACAACTTCGGATGGCCTGCAGGACATTTTGTAGCATAATTTCTCGGTTCCACTTGGCGTAACGCTGAGCCCAATCAACGGCTTTCACATATTGGTCAAAGTGCGGGGAGCCCTCTCGCAGGTATGCAAGATCGGCGCTGGGCAATTTGGAAATATGATTGCCCATGTCCTTCTTGGCAAGCTCAATAAAAACGGTGCCTATGCGATTCCCCACTCCCCTTGATCCAGAGTGCAGCATTACCCACACATGAGGGTCTTGGGCGTTATTCGTAGCATCAGCATCATCAACGCAAAGTTCAATGAAATGATTTCCACCACCAAGCGTCCCGAGATGGGATATGTGGTTGCTGGCCTCAATCGCCTTGTGCGACGCGCATATTTCATAAAACTCATTTCGTAAATGTGTATTCCAAACAGCTGCAACATTTTTTGGTATATCGCCTCGCCAACTTCCAGCATCAAGACCGCTTCTGCCATTGTGCGTCCGTCCATGTGGGACGGCGATCTCAACGGCCAATCGTAATTCGGTGAGCGACCCTGGAAGGTCTTGCGGGGTGAGAGTGGTCCTCACCGCGATCATGCCACAGCCAATGTCCACCCCAACACTTGCAGGAATCAACGCGCCTGTCGTCGGGATGACAGTTCCTACGGTGGCGCCATGGCCTGTGTGTACGTCCGGCATGACGGCAATGGGGTGTCGAATGATTTCACCCATACGTGAGAGTTGAAGTAGCTGCTCGTGCGCTGAGCGCTCCACCTCAACACCTCTGATCCATGCTCGCACCTCGACGTTACTTCCCTCACCACGAAGAACTTCATACGGCCGCGAGTTTTGGCTACAGGCATTCGCACACCCACATCTTCGCCTTACTGTGGCAGTCACAACAGCAGTCGCAGCAGCGAAGAGCCGCTCACACGCAAGGCGGCGCATGCTGGGCGCTAGGCGGGCAACAAACACAATGAGCCTCTTAAGGGGTCCACACACCTAAGGGGGAAAAAATTAGTGTTAGTGGCACATTCACCACCACAAACTCCTACGCAAAAATATACACACAGAAAAAAAAAAACAGAGTTGTCGGAGAAAGAAGAACCACAACTGTGAGGAGGGGGGGGGGGGGGGAAACGTGACTCACTGAGGTATTGAATCTGGATGCACACATGATGCAGACTCGTCCCATGATGCGAGACGTACACAATGCACATGCCTAATATATATATAGAAATAATGTTGTATAATATTAAGAGATAACAGAAACCACCAGCAACAACACAACAACAATGCCACAAATAACAACCTCCTCACACTATATTCCATTAAACTCGTTCCCCAACGGCAATTGTGATAATCACTATTCTTGCAAGGCAACATTGACCTCCGCTACTTTATCAGTTGACATGTGAAATGCCGCCAGATGATCGTTGAGCAACTCTTTCCGCTTCATCAAATATGCTTTGCGGGTGCATTCAGGGCAACCCGGCTTACCCCCCAGAAGATGCCGGTTAGGACAGCAGCGCGTACAGAATTGTCTGCCGCACCAGTTACAGTTTGTGCTCGTCGTAAAGTAATAAAAGTACGGTTCCCCGCAGTTAGCGCAAACACGGTCACCCTGAGGACGTTCGTCCTCCGGTGCAGGCATGTAATCAATCGGCTCCACCTTATCCTTGACATCTTCTGGCACCGCCTCATGTGTGGCGTTAAAAGTAAATGAGAGTCCCATTTCACAGGACGTTTCTCCCTTCTGTTTTCAGTGCATGAACAACAAACACACACAGAGAGAAAGAGCAAATGAAAGTTTGAATTCTTGCAGGCAAACAAAACTAAAAGTAAAACGAGAAAAAAAAAGGCATGACGCCACACACGCAGCGAGACGATCTCCATTACACAGAAACGCATGCGGGTATGAGAGAGGCATGGTGCGGTCAGCCACCGATGGGAAGCTCAGTTCAAAAGACAGCGCCAAAATAAATTTTTGTCGCTCTCCGCAGTGCCCCTTGGGAAGTGTTCTACCGCCCTCCCCTCCTTCTTTTACCGCCGTTTATTTCAAAAAAAAAAACGTCTACTCTTTAACATCCGCTTTCTCCTTCAACTAAACAAAAAAGTAAATAAATGACAATGTGACCGAAGAAGCAACATCAACATGTGTTTCTTCCCTCTTTACACACATACAGGTAACTTTTAAATTTCCCTCTTCAGCACATTTGTGCGGTTTACCATACATCTGCTTCCTTCTTTTTTTTTCCTTCCCGCCCCTTTCACTTCTCCTCACCCTCGTGCAGTGCAGAGAAGCCGCTGCGCCTCAGCGCACATTAATACATTCAAGCAAACAAGCAAACCAAAAGAGACAGCACGGCGGCCACTGAACGGGAATTAAAAAAAAAACAAACAACAACAACATATAAATAAAAGCAACGTCAGGGGCATGAAAAGAAGGTGGGAGAGAGAAAGAAAGAATATCATCAACAAGGAGCTTTCCCTTTGCTTTCTTCTTCGTTTTTTTTTTCCCCCTCCTCGTCCCTTGACAATCATCTCAAGAAACTAAAAAACAAGAAAAAAAGAAGAAACAATCACTACTTCGTGAAGAGGAGGAATGAGGGACCAAATGGAAAGAAGTCTACCGAACGCCTTACAACCCTTGTGAAATATCCCGCTCTGCACGTCTCCTCGACTTCTTTGCGAGAATCAACTTCCGGGGGTCGAACGCGGTTATAAAGAAGCCACGCAAAAAATTACCGGAGCCAGCTTTCTTGTCTTGCTTCCGCCGGTAATGTTCGTGGTGATACACCTCATCTAAAGAACCACCTTTCGTGCGTTCGTAATAATTGCGCAAACAGTTGTCCATGCAGTGAGCACATATCGGCCGCCACTTCCAATTGCGGCAAAGGAGACAGCACCGCTTACAAAGCGCCTCACCACAGACGCGGCAGCGACGCGGTCTTCTCAATGCATCGAAGAGCCGTCCACAGTCAGGGCAGAAGGTCATCTGCTGGATTTTGTCAAAGTCTTTGCGATCCAATGGTACCACGCCGTCGAAAACTTCCGCCTCAGCCGTCTCCATTTTGTGTATTGTGACAATGGCGCCCATTTTCCTCCTCCTTTGTTTTTCCCTTTTTGATCTTCTCTCCCCTTGCCTCCGCCTCTTCTCGCGCGTGTACTACTGCATGCACTGGGATGGTATAGTCCCTGCTATTTTCCTCCGCTTAGCGGCTCTCTCTCTCTCTCTCTCGATTTCTTTCTTTTTGTCGCAACAATGGATACATCCAGCAATAACAATAATAACCAGGTAGAAAACACAAGACAGATTGGAGTTAACACTGATCCACGCAAAATAGCTACCACCCCAGTACACTCTGCAAGTTCTTTAAAATCCCCCCCCCCCCCCACATACACACACAACTCGAGAAAATAATAAAAACAGCGGACACGTATAAGTCTTAAATATAACCAGCTTTCTTTAATTATGTGGACGGGGGAAGTGATTCTTGTCTTTCCTACAGCTTCATCTCTCAACGACCACCCTTCACCCAGTTCACGCCATATGTGAGTGCCTTTGAGCCTCGCCCCCAGACTCCACGCGCCCCCGTTTTCCGCCTGCCAGCTTATCCTCCACTGGGGCGCTATCCGCCACATCTTCGCCATCGTCTTCGTTGTTATCATCAACGTCATCGGAGGCTGCCCTCACCTTTCCTACATTGCGTGTGCGAGGATCGACGGCGTCGTACTGCCACTGCGAGAAGAGATTCATTGCTTCCAGCAATGTGCCCCCGTTTTCTTTCACGAGTTCCCCAACTGCTGTCTCAAGTGCTGCATGTCGTGGCTCTGCAAGATGAATGACTGCCTCCTGATCCGCCACACCCACAAGTTGCAGAACCTGCACGCGGCCAGTACGCTTCAGCAGAAGGGCTGAGTCAGTAGCCAACCCCACCATTGCTAGCGGGGGCGAATCCAAGCGCGTTCGAGTGACATTCTCCACGGCAAATGACAGGCGGTGGTCATCCTCACGTTCCAGGAGTGGAACAAAAACCACATCGTTTGTATTCGCATAGGCAACAAGAACGCCATGTGCATACCCCATTCCAGCGTGCTTGTTGACTCCATCGGGCAACGATGACGTTGTGGCATATACGACAGATATAACAGCAGCAGCTCCTTCCGCGTTCAAATCAGCTTCCTTCAGCGCAGAAAGAGAGCCAATGAGAGTAAACGGCTCCGTAGGGCAGGCAGCTATCAAGGTATTATCGGCAACCCACAGATGCACTTTTCCGTCAAAATTTCCAGTTACAAAATAGGAGCGCCGCTGCATTTCCGAGAGGTTAGGCACCTCCGCAATGGAGGTTACCACCGACTGAGGGGCTTCAGTCCACAGAAACTGTTCAATTCGAAATGTGTCGGGGTAACAACTGACCCTAACATGGCAGTCCTTGTCGCATGTAAAAAGCCTTCTTGTTTCTGTCGCATCAGTTGTTGTCCGCCGGATTGGCGCAGACAAAAATAAGGTGCTCATCACACTAAAGTGTTGCAAGATAAAGATAGGCAACGTAGCATCACTGGGCGCCAGTGCCAGGGAGTCACCCAGTCCCCATGCAAGGCCAAGACGGAACACTTCCCCAAATTTATCAGCAAAAAGGATGGTGTCACCATAGGCCGCAACGTGAGTAATGCGTTTTGTGTGAGGCCCAAAGGAAAACACTAACCGTAGTTCACCGACACGGCCACTGCTTGCATGGGACTGTGCCTCTGGCGATGTCCCTGTCAGTCCTGCGTGATAGATATTGATGCGTTTCCCGTCCCCTCCAGCAGCAACACAAAGCGCACCGCTTGGAGCACGCAAGAAAGCGATACCGCGTATCACTTGTCCGTCGTCTACAGTGAGCATCTGCGCTCCTGCCTCACCGCTGAAAGCAAGAACAATTTTCGTTGCAATGCCCAACGCAACAGTGCACTCCTCGCGCATGGAAGCAAACGACAGAGTGTGGCCATGATTCCCACTACTGCCAGAAGCATTCATGGCCCTTCGCCACCACAACCTTTTAACTCTTCTTTGCCCACCTTCGCCAGATACCAAAAACAAATCAACACGAAATCCACAATGAAAAAAAACACAAGCCATATGGCATGAATCACTGATGTATGCAACCACCATCAGAAGGCAGACAAGCTTCAATTCTCATCCTCCAATGTCTTCACAGTTGATGTCCCCCATTGAGCGAGAGTGCATTTTGGTAATTATCCTACACACTCCGGTGCCTACTACTCTTCATCCCAACAGAATGAAATCCTTTAAAAAAGGGGGGAGGGATCTTTGATAAATACATTGACTGCTTGGTTCGGGTTAAAAGCAATAAAATAAGCTGTAATATATATATTACAAACAATATGAAGTTACTATTTATAGGGACGAATTCTTTGAGGCCTCCACCCCTTCCCAACATACAAAAAACAAAAAAAACAGCATGGCAAGCCGCAGAAGCACAAGTGGGTAGAGGAAAAGATGACGACTACACACTTTCCTGTGGGCGCATCATGGCCTACTCACGATCCATGAGTAAATAAACAAAAACAAAACATGAAATCATTGATCAAAAAAATGATAAACAGACCATCATCTTCCATAATATTCAAAACCCATCACATAAACACAGAAAGACAAAAGAACATCACCACAATCACAAAAAGCATGCGCCCGGCCGAGGTTTTGCCCCTCCCATTTCTACCAAGAGTGAAAGCACCATAATAATTGATGACATATTAATTTGACACGCCAAGCATCCCCGCCACTAAGTTGCAGCTTCACTCCACAAACTAATCCAGAAATAAAATTTAAAAAATACACACGGCGATAATGACCAGCTGGCGTTGCATGCTGATCAAGTGGCAGCCTTTACGGTGCTCCACAACCGCCAAACTCCTCTGCGTGGAAGGTAGTGCGGGGTTGGGGGAATGTCAAAATCACAAAAAATAATATGCTCTCGTGCTGTCTTCTCCAACGCGGCATCGTTAGAAAAAAAAAAGGAAAAAAAGAAGAGAAAGCTAAAACAAGAGTCGCACCGTC